CCAAAAAAATTGGTACTTTGTAGGGTGTCGTATAACACCCTTAGAGCCCGTTTGGACATAAGAAAATTTTTTCTTTTTTCCAAATAATTTTTATTTTTTTCGAAATTAGTGTTTGTTCATAAAATTTTTAAATTTTACTTGAAGATGCATTTTGAAAATTTTCAAAAATTTGAAAAACTCCAAAAAGCTGTTTTTCAAAATTTTCACTCACAAAACTTCAAAAATAACTCAAAATTATATTCATGTCCAAACACAACTCTAAATTTCAAATACCATTTTCACTTGAAGATTTTTTTAACCCTATTTTAAAATTTTACAATTCTTAGCCCACTTACTAAAAGGGTGTCCGCTACTGATGAGGTGGGTGGTTGGGTAAAAAAAAACAAAAAATAATTGTATTATGTAGTCTAATTAAATATTTAGCCAATCAAACTAGTAAAAGACGGTTAGAATAGGAAAAAATAACAACACACCTGCCACTATTCATATTGCACATCCATAATTAACAAGAAATTTTATATAATTAACACAGACTGCCCCTTCTTTTAAGTCTCTGTCATTTATGTCTATAGGCTTCAACTTCCTCCTCACTAGCTAGTCTTGTGATTATTCTTCCTTTGAACAAAAAGAATTTTAATGGCACATAATAGAACTTGTACTACTCTAAGCTCTGAATCTTCATCACCTCCAATTACACCAAAGGGATCATTACCTGAAAGGGTTCTTTACAAGATGCTTGGCTTTGCTGATTTTTCAAAACGAAACCAATTATCTCCTTCCTTCCATAAGGATTTTGAAGTCGATGAAGAACTTCACTTCGACAGTAGCATTTGTCAGTCTTCTTACCGTGGTGTTTTCGTCGTTCGTCTTGCTATCATGGTACCCAAATTTTATTTGTTGAATTGAAAGCAACTACTGAAATCGTTTTGGCTAAAATATTTCAATCATTTTCTTGGTTCGATCAGTTTTGGCTGTTTTTAGTTTTGCTTGCCAATTTTTGATGATTCACCCCCATAGAGAAAAACCTCTGGCATTAGCAGCCTATTTAATTTTCTGGCTAATTTGCTAGAAACATATCAAATTAAATACTTTGTTTATTTTTCATCTTAAGCTGTCAATTTATTTCAATATTCCACTTCTAATATCTTAGTGGTCTAAAAATTAAAAGGGCAGCCCAGTGCCCAGCATACCACATTCACTAGGGTCTGGAAGGCCGCAACCCAAGGGTTTGATGCAGACAGCCTGTCCTAGAATTAGTGGCTGCTTCCACGACTTGAACCCGTGAGTCGGACGGAGACAACTGTAGTGTTGCTCCTAGGTTCCCCTTCAGTGGTTGGAAAATTGAATCTTGATTTTTCATCTTGAGACAGTACAAGTGTTGGGTAGATATATATATTGAGTTAAATGAGGTGGAAATATGTTCAGATTCTTGATTTGGCCCTTTTCTTTATGGGTGTATGCAGGTCATGCTAGCAATTTTGATTGGAATGCTAACATTATTAACATGGCATTTTACCAGAGTTTACACAACAAGGTCACTTAACACACTAGCATTTGGTCTTCGTCATGAACTTCTGCAGAGACCAATATTACGAATGTGGAACATTTTGAATTCCACTGTTGAAATAACCACTGCTCAGGTTAAGCTGTGTGAGTATGTAATCAGAAAGTATAGCAAGCCTGCTGATCAAGCTCAACAAGTTGAGGTTATTTCTTTCTCCTCTTGCTTTCATACTTTTTGGAAGCAGTGTTCAAGCTTCTAGTTATCTAATTTTATTAATTTGATGTTTGCCCCTCAGCAGCTGTACGAATCCATGAAGGATGTAACGTGGGCTCTATTTGCAAGTCGGAAAGCTCTTAATTCCTTAACCATCAACTATAGAAATGGTTTTGTTCAGGCTTTCCACAGAGATCACAGGAGCAACAATACATTCTACATATACTCTGATCTTGCCAATTATTCTATAAGTGGTATATATGATGTTAATTTGTTGTCGTCTCGTCAAGGATGGAATGATCAAACTATACACAACAACATCTCAGCAGTTTGGTACCGAGAACCCTTAGATCCCTCTACTGGAGAAAAGAATGGAAAACGAAGCATAATTCCTCCCGATGAGTTGATCAACATTGCTGGAATATCTCAAGTACCAGATGGTGCAGCTTCATGGCATGTGGCTGTGAGCAAGTATACAGACTCGCCGTTGCTTTCAGCAGCGTTGCCAGTTTGGGATCCATCGAACAAAAGCATAGTTGCTGTTGTGGGGGTTACTACAGCTCTTTATAGTGTAGGTCAATTGATGAAAGAAATTGTTGAATTCCACAGTGGTCACATTTATTTAACCTCTCAAGAGGGATGGTTGCTCGCTACTTCCACTAATTCCCCTCTCTTGATGAATACTACGAAAGGACCGAAGCTAATGATGGCTATTGATTCTGAAGACCCAGTTATACGGTCTGGAGCTGAGTGCTTACAGAAAGAATATGGAAACAGGCTTCCCCCAAGTCAAGAAGTGCACATAGAGAATGCTAAACTTGGGAACCAGCTCTATTATATTGACTCATTTTTCCTGCACTTAAAGAGACTTCCAATGGTAAATTGTTAGCTTAGCACAAGTTTAGTATATCATGGTTGGATAAGTTCGAGGCAAATTATTAGACGTCTTACTGATCTGCAAACTTTGCAGGTAGGAGTTATCATTATTCCAAGGAAATATATAATGGGGAAGGTAGACGAGAGGGCTATCAAGACTCTGGTAATATTGATCTCAGCATCAATATGCATCCTAATCATTGGATGTGTGTTCATCTTCGTATTGACTAATGGAGTGTCGAAGGAAATGAAACTTAGAGCACAGCTGATAAGCCAGTTTGATGCAAGAAGGAAGGCAGAGGCATCGAGCAATTACAAAAGCCAATTTCTAGCAAACATGAGGTGAATATTCATCAGTCCTTTATTATTAGCTTAACATATTTGTACCTGCAGTGGGGGTTTTAGTGCATTAATAATGGGTTATATTCTAGCAGATCTTCAAAAGAGAAATAATTGCACTGTTTATGTTTACACAGCCCATATTAGAAAGTAAAGGCCATCTTTTGAAAATAAATTATCTGAAATAAAGCTATCAGACATCTCAGCAGTGTCTATCTTTTGGTCTAGTTTTTGCTCGCCATAGTTGTTTTAAATTGCATCAGACCACAGACGAATTCCATGAAAATATGGGGCATTTTGCAAATTTAATAATGACTGGAATAGGTATTATAGTATACTGAATTGTTACTTGCCAAATTAAGGTTCAACATCTGCACCGGGAAATATTAACCAGCACGTACTCCCTTCAAGTTCAGCAGAAGTTGCATTAACATTTTTGCTTGTTCAATGAAGCAAGCTTTTTCTGAGCTTTTAGCTTTTTGTTTATATTTCCTTTCTTTTGGACTACTTTCACTTTTAACTCTATAATTAGCTAATCTTTCACTCTTCTACTCTAGATCTTGCCTTTGGGTCTGATTCATTGTGATCAGTTGAAAGTTTTAGTTTCTCAAAAGTTCAAGTTGTACATTTCTACAGTTACTTCATGCTTTGTTTTTTCACAGTCATGAATTACGAACACCTATGGCTGCAGTTATTGGCTTGCTGGACATCCTTATAAGTGATGGTTATCTTACAAATGAGCAGTATGCAACTATTACCCAGATTCGTAAATGCTCAACCGCTTTGCTTCGCCTTCTGAACAACATTTTGGATCTCAGCAAGGTAAGATGCAAAAGCAAACTATGGAAATATCAACACGTTTGTGAACACTGATATAGCACATTGACAACTCTTTTGATGATATATTGGAAAGAGTTTACTCTTTGATTGGCTAAAGTTACCTCACTGTTCCTTGGAGAAACTATAGTAGCAATGAAATAGTACGATAGATTTTCATGGACCATTTTGGGTAACGTTGCAGCTGGCTTAAGCTTGTTCTTCAAAGAATAGTTGTAATTAGACCTGAGAAAAATCTTATACATCATCTTATACTTTTTGTACAGGTAGAATCTGGAAAACTGGTGTTGGAAGAAACAGAATTTGACTTGGCTAAAGAACTTGAAGGACTTGTTGATATGTTCTCTGTCCAGTGCATTAATCACAACGTTGAGACAGTTCTAGATATCTCCGGTAGAGCCTCTGTTCTCCGTACAACTGTAGGAAATGCAAATGAATTATGATTAAGAGTTGAACTTGAGACTGTTCGCATTGTTTTCTAAAGGCATATTATGTTTTCATATTTCTATCCGCAGATGATATGCCAAAATTAGTTAAAGGAGACTCTGCCAGAGTTGTTCAAATTTTCGCAAATCTAATTAGCAATTCTCTCAAGTTTACTACCTGTAAGTGCAACTTTTTAATACATACATTTGCAAGTCCTTCCATTTGTCCTCATAATTGATAAATCCCTTACAAGAATTAAATAGCATGATTCTACTGACCCTATACCACCTCTGATAAAATGAAGAGATTAGGATTTTGATAAATAAAATTTTCTTGCGAGACAAGTGCATTTGGTGATTTTACAATTTGAAATACCTTACAGCGGGTTACATCATTCTTCGGGGATGGTGCGAGAGTGCAAACACTTTTTCTCGCGGAGGGAATTTTACACTTAATCAGAAAGACTCTTGGTCTGCTCCTAAAGTAAAGTTGAAGCGACAAGAGAGCCAGGGAAAAAAATTGTCCAAGAAAGATAACAAAATGATCTTGTGGTTTGAAGTTGAGGACTCTGGTTGTGGTATGAAATAACCATTTAAACTTATTTTCCCACTTGCTGCTACTGCATATTAACTCTCTCTCTCTCTCTCTCTCTGGATTTCCCCTTTTTGTTACTTTAGGAATTGATCCAAGTAAATGGGAATCTGTATTTGAAAGTTTTGAGCAAGCTGATCCTTCGACAACTCGCTTGTAAGCAGTTTTCACATCATTCTATTGGGTAAACTTTGTTAGTTATATAACAGAATACATGTATGACTGAATGAATTTACTTCCTGCACACCTTAAAGCTACTTAATATCTAACTAAAGAGATTTCATTGTTTGATTAACTTCATACTCAGGCATGGTGGCACTGGCCTTGGACTATGCATTGTACGTACCCTGGTGAGTTCAATTTTTTTCTGTTTCAAATAAATAAGTTTCAGGAATTTGAGACTTTGAATTCGCAAGAAAAAATATTTCAATTTGGATTTGGCTTGAAAAAGAGTTCAAGTTCTGTCTTTAGGATTTTCTAGACTTGATGACATCTTTAGCCCCTTACAAGCCAAAGGATGGCATGAAAAACAACCCCTCTAACCAAAATCCACACTGTTCATAATTTCTGCAAGTTTTCCTCTTGGAATAGGCTTTAAACATAAAAGTGAAGAATATTGACTACCTTACCAGTTTCTAATGATGATACGATGATATACAGGTTAACAAAATGGGTGGAGAGATTAAGGTTGTAAAGAAAAATGGACCAGGGACAGTGATGCAACTATACCTTCAACTAAACTGTCCTGCAGAAGTCACTGGACAACACTGCCAGTTCAATTTTGAAGAGCACAAAATGAGGGTAAGTATCACTACAAAATGATGTGTTTTTAGTGCTGCACCTACGAAATGATGTATTTGCAGGAATACATAGACCATGACCAAACCATCTTAGGCTAACTTCTCTCATTTTATCATATACATCTACAGGAGTTAGTTGCATTCTCTGTGGACGCAATCATCTCTAATCCAGTATAGTCTGCTATTACCGCACATCAATCATAGCATTCACATCTCTAGGACACCTAGGCCCAGTATTTACACACATGTAATATTTTTGGCCTTCCGATTGTTCTATAAAACTTGCACCACTTTGCTAGCCCGCAAAGCTCCTCCATTTCAGTCATCCTATTTGAATTCTATGTATTATATCTTCGTCTATCATACCATTCTTCTAATGACTGAGCCTAGATATTTTTTAAGTTGCCTTCATTTTAAGCACACAATCTCGTCTAATTTCAGTTCACCTCCATTCTTATGGGACTAAAATTGCAGCGGATATATTCTGTCTTACTTCTGCTTATCCTAGAACCTTTCCTCTCTACATTTATGTTCCATATTCCAACTTTTGGTTGAATACTTCGCTAGTTTTGTCAATTAAAACAGTGTTATATGCAATAGCATGTACGTTTTTATCTCATCATGTTTGTTACTGGTCAGTTCATCCATAACTATGTAACAAGTGTAGATTCAAGGAAGATCATTGGTGTAAATTCACAGTTATGGGAAGCTCATTCGTCACTCCACCCCTGTCTCACACTTGTGATCGCTCCCTCATACAATTCTTTGTGGCAAATGTATAATTGATATGGGCTCCTCCTTCGCAAGCACCCATCAAAGTACTTTTTTGGCACTTTATCTTGTGATATCCCTACTTGATTATCTTATCATGATTCCATCCCCAACTAGCCCTTACAATCCCCAGCACCCTCATTAAGAATGGCTATATTACTTTGGACTTGTGAAAACCCTCGTGTACCTTGAGTTAAATTGATTATAATTTTGTGAAAGTCTGAGCAATTTGTACATAATGGAACTTGAATACAGGTGTTGCTTGCACTCAATGGCAGAATGAGTAGAGAAATAATGTTCCAGTGGTTAGAGAGAAATGGGGTGCATACTTGCGGAGCATCTGATTGGAATGAGCTCACTCAAATTCTTCAGGGGATTTCAATATCCAAAAGCCATTTGCAAGACATACCTTGTGAATGTTTAGAACCTGATGATTTGAGCATTCAAGATTCTAGTGCCCCATCACTTCTTGTCATAGTTGTAGACATTGGCATACTTGACTTGAGCACAAATATATGGAAGGAGCAGCTAAATTTTCTTGATAAATACTACGACAGAGCAACGTTTGCATGGATTCTTTACCATGACACCCCCAGTACCATTAAGATGGAACTGCGAAGGAGACACCTAGTTATGGTCAATAGACCACTATATAAAGGGAAAATGATTCAGATTTTGGAAACTATTATAAAAGAAAAAAATCATGAACTGCAGTCCTTTGGCAATGCAACAGTAGAAGGAGATTTGCATGAATGTCTTGAAATTGATCCTAACCACTCTGATATTGCCTGCTCAGATGACTCTGACAAGTCAGATAACGGAAATGAAAAATGTGGAAGTGCCTTCCTTTCTGAAAAAAATAGGGAAGAAAATTTTGCCAAAGCCTCTCTCTCACATGTTGGGACATTAAACAACTACTACATTGACTTCAATGAAGAAAACACTTCGGACATGAATGATCTCAGACAAACGAGGAATGGAGAACATCATTTGACAAGCAGTCCCACCAAAGAGGTCACTAATGCCTGCTCAGATAAGATAGCAGACCAGAAGTCTCTAGCTGATCTTCGTATACTGCTTGCTGAGGATACTCCAGTGCTGCAAAGAGTAGCTAGAATAATGCTGGAAAAATTGGGAGCTAAAGTGGTTGTTGTAGGAGATGGGCTGCAGGCAGTGGATGCACTAAAACCCATGTCTAGTTCTGATGAATGTAGATATGAATCTCTTCTGGAAGAAGGCAGTTCAATTACCCTCCAAGTTGAAAGCGTTCATTCCCTTCCTTATGACTTGATCCTCATGGATTGTCAAGTAAGTCGATCACGACTTTACATAATAATCCCTCCTTTTTCATCTTATAGAACAATACTTGATTGGCCACAGATTGTACTAAAGAAATAAAGACTTTTCCCATGTGCCAAAAGTACCCTTAGAACTTGTGGTTTTGAACATGCCATGACATTTCTATGACTATAAGAGCATAATGTTAAGGTGGTAAACTAGAAAGTTTACAGCTAAAAGAGGTACTACATATAGAAAAATATCATTCTTTTTTTAATAGAGTAAAAAGGAAAGAGTGTCATAAAATGGAACAGAGGGAGTTTTTGGAAGAAACAATCAACAATCACTGAATGTAGGAACATTTAAATGAGAATTGTTGTGTTGTTTCATTCCAATTCTCTCGACATGATCATTCTAAAACTTTCTGCTAATATAATTGTTCTTAACAGATGCCAAAGATGGATGGCTATGAAGCAACAAAGGCAATTAGAAGAGCGGAAATGGGGACAGGAACACATATACCTATTGTTGCACTGACAGCTCATGCAATGTCATCAGATGAAGCAAAATGCTTACAGGTTGGTATGGATGCTTATTTGACCAAGCCCATTGACAGAAAGTTGATGGTTTCCACCATTCTTTCCTTGACCAAGAGAAAATCCTAGCCACCATACCTCTCCAGCTACTGAAAAACAAAAACAGAAGATAATAAACAAAAATGGAAGAGCTCCGAAAACTTGTGAGCTTGAGCAGAGTTTTGATGAGCAAAAGTTTTGCAGTCTGTACAGGAATGTTCTAACTTTGTATCTGTTCTATAGCTTATGCAGAAATTCTAATTAATAAGCGTATATAACACTGCACGCGCTGGCTTTTTTTCTTTTTATAGTTAGCTTAAGCAGAGTGTTGATTAGCAAAATATTGGCAATCTGTACAGGAGATGTATGTATCACATTGAACACTAATTTTGTTATCTGTTATAGTATATGCAAAAGTTTGTAATAAGCGTCTTCAATATTACTGCTGGTTCTTTTCTCTGTCCCCAACTTTAATTTTTGTGTCTTTGTTTCTGTAAACTTCTAATTTCTGAACAATCTTTAACGTGCAAATTACAAACCCAAACTCATCTTGAATTTTTTTATGAAAGAAGTTAATTTAGACAAGACAAAATGTGTAAAAAGAAAGAACATGGCAAGCACAACGCTTTATTGTCGCGAGGATAAATAAAAAAACAAAATAGAGTGTATGTGTGTCAGTGTAACATGTCAAGCCTGAGAACTTTATTATCGCAAAGATAAATAAAAAGGAACACAGAGCTAGTATTAACACATGACGAGCTGGGAAATTTTAATCGAAGAAAACTACTATCAGAATCAGAAGGGCTATGTTTATAAATTAATTGAAATAATTTTAAAAAAATTACACAGTTGGCCCATGCAGGTCTCGAACCTGCGACCTTCGCGTTATTAGCACGACGCTCTAACCAACTGAGCTAATGGGCCTTTGTTACTTCTGCAGCAAATAAATTATAAGATTATTAACTCGATAGCCTTGGTGTATTGAAATTGAGGTTAATTGAGAATTTGAGGGAGAAGAAGCAGGGAAGAAAACCCATAACTCAGGCATAATGAAGGACGATTACGAGGTAACAAGCTTTCTGCTTAGAGCCATTTTCCTGTTAACTGTTTCATATATATTTAAATATCCTTTTGTTTTGTAACACTAGGTATTTTATTTGATTTTGGATTGCGGCTTTAAACCTTCTGCTTTTAGTTTTAATAGACTCTCGACATTGTTTGTGTTTTTTGAAGCTTTAACTGGAGCTTCTTATTACCCCTTTTGGGTTTTTCTTTCAAGTCTATTAAAAAATTAGTCCTTATCTCGGATGCAGTTGAACAATTCTAACTGTAATTTTTTTTTTTTTTGGGAGAAGTGATGCCATATAAAATGACAATAAGTTGGTATGTTAATCAATTGGATATTGAACCTTGGATCTCAAAATCCCGTGGCCTTAGTAGTATTTGAGTCTAGAATGATTATCAAAATAGGGTTAAAAGAAAAAGATATATCAAAATTGGCTAATTTTCAAAAGAGGGTTTTTTAATAACTATGTCTGGTACAGGTAACACTGCCAACTAAAGCTTAGGCAAATTGGAACAAGTGTTTCAAGCAAGTAGTGAGTATTGATTTCTAGATTCTAGCTTTGCCTTATCTGGTCATAGATCACCTCCTTAAAGGCAATCGCAGGGTTTGCAATAGGTGAAGGCTTTAGGAGGCAAATCTACCCTTAATCTTTCTTTAAATAACGAGCAAAAAGAAAAGGAGATTTTTTTCCTCAGATTGAAACTATGGCTAGTTCAAATTGGTGAACTGCCTAGCTAAAGAAAGGAAGAAAGGATCCGATAATCGAAGTGAAAAAAGGATAATCAAGATCTAACCTCTTTTGGCAGTAATAGAATTCTGTATAGAAAAATTTGATTGTTAATAGTTGAAAGTGGAAATACCCACTAAGCGAGAGAGTTTTCTTCACCTCTCTAAGGATTGATGGAAGTGTTTGACTGCAAAATAAGCGTTTTGTATAAATATAGGCATATTTTTTTTTTATAGTTTTTGGTATAGCCATGAAGTTTTTGTATTGAGTGACATTAGCAGACCATGTTATTGTGTATGTTCTCTATTTTTTGGTATACGACTTGTATACAGGAGTTTTTCATACAGTGATAAAATTATTTACCTTAAGAAAAAATTCTCCTTGGGATGGGTTTGATGATTATTGTTTTGTTAAGCATCTGTAGTCATGGGTTTTGGGTTTTGATACATGTATAAGGGACGCCGCTGGTGCATAAATAATTGACATAACCCCTCTAAGATGGAAATAAGCATGGCTAGAAGCATGTCCATGCATATAAGATTTTATTGCTGACTTTAGTTGTCTGAAACTATTTTCCTTATTCTAGGAGTGACCACTGCTTGCTGAAAAGTTTAAGTTTGGTTACCATGCAATGTGCACGAGGATCCATTGCAATTTTCATCTCTATATTGTGCTATTAGCTTTAACTCTCATATAAAATTCCAGGTTGAAGAAAAGAAGCAAGCTGCTGCGGATGTCTTGTTTCAATATTCAAATTTTGTTATGGCATGTATTGGTAATCAAGTTCGACCTTGTGACTTGAGACTGCATTTGATGAAGGTAAGGTGCATTAATGAATTTTCTTGCTGTATCAGTGTCACATGGGAACAATCTCATGAGTACTGCGTGTGATAACCACTCAAATTTGAGGATCTCAGCCATTTCAACCAAATAACGACTCATAGTTGACAAATTTCTAACAGCATGTAAAAGCACATCAGCCATTAGGGACAAATGAAAGAACTATTTGTTTTCTGCTTCCGCTTTTTTCCCAACTCTCTTTTCTTTTGCCATTTCTTTACTCTTTGTCCTCATCACTGCACTAAATCCGAATTTGGTCCCATCTTATCCTTACTCCTTGTTCTCCTTATATAGTATTCTACTGTAAGTTGTTATATTTTTCTTAATGAAGACTGTTGCATGGTTTGAAAAACAAACAAACAAAAAAAAGACTGCTTCATATAACCCTGTGCAACAGTTTCATTCCGACTTCGAGCATGAAACTGAACAGAAAGGTAAAAATCTAAGGTTATTGTTCTTTCCAACATAATCTTCATTTTGTTAAGTGATCCAAGTTTAGTAAGAACAGTTTGATAGGTCTAATAAGCGTGCATCCTAAATATGTTCCTTCATCTGGGGTTTCTAATTCATGATGTAACTTCATCTTCTGTGTTGCAACTTTATGTCGTGATGAAACTTTAAGCTGTGATTTGCCAAATAAGAAATTGGTGAACTGACTAACTGGAAGCAGCTATTACTACTGATACCATATTAAACTAAGCATGACTCAAGGCCACCTCTAAAACTGAGGCATTTTACTGTGTCCGTAACGATTGAACTGATGCATTTACCTTTTTCTTCTTAGAACACCTAAAATGAAATAAGTTCAGAGGAAAATGATTATTACAGTCTTATATATTGTGGTGCTTCATAAGAGCACAGATACCTGCATTTAAGATTAAAAGTGACGTCATTGCATTTTGAAGAGGAAAGATAACATTCTGCACCTGCTATTTCTGTCTAAAGGAATCATAGCAATACTCTATGTCCAAGGCCTGTATTTCCAGCAGCATCTAGATTTGTTTCCAAGGGTCTTTCGGAAATAGTCTTATGGAGGGGTAAGGTCTGCGTACACTTCACCCTCCCCAGACCCCACTTCACCCTCCCCAGACCTCACTTTGGCATTTCACTGGGGTTGTTGTTGTATCTGGATTTGATTTAGCTAGAGTTGTTGATTTGCTCAAATATTTGCACAACTTCTCAAACATTGATGTTAATACCGTATAATTGTTTGCTTTTGGATATTCACCGGGAAATCGGTCATCTCAATTCTTACAGTTGTTGGTAATATTATGTATTCTTAAAGAAATGGAACAAAGAATTCAAAATGAGATCATCTCTCCCTAGTCATTGAATTGTGTGGATAAGAACTGTCCTTTTAATTCTTTTTCAGGAAGTTTCAGGATTGCCAACTTCTTTGAAGCGGGAAACACGTCCAGCACCTTCTCCAGATGTAATGGGAGAATCCTCAAGCTCAGGTACCTCAAGACTGGATAAAGCAGACAGTTTTCGAGGCCCTTAGATTTTGAAATTGCAACATTCTCTTTGTTTTCTAGTTTGCTTTGTGTAAAATACAAGTATCATCAGTTGATGTACTATTTGAAGCATGTAGGATCTTTCTTCATTTTATTCTCAGTAGTATCAGTGTCTGCAGTAAAGCTATCTCTGTCGCATACATGTTTATTATGACAATTATTTCTTCCATCATGACATAAGTTTGTATCGGCGTAAAACCTAAACTATGTCTAGAGCTGACTATCATATAATTTGCTATTATCCTCATCCCTAAGAATATCATAATTTGTTCAAGTTTTTTCAGTAGATTATCCTTTATCAATAAAACCATCATGATAAAGGAAAAATTATCATAGATAATAAACTTCTCAAAACTAACAAAAGTCAATAGTAAGGTTAGTGTGTGACATTTGAATCCATATTTGAGGGAAATTAACCGTATTAGCTGCGAAATGACAATGGGCGATGGATTATACATTTTATTAATTCTTGATCACTACTCGTAACTTTCAATTGCAGTTCAGCAGGGAGAATATCCTTGTCTTTTTGAACGAAACAGGAAACGTATGCATTAATGTCTTTTACCACATTTGAGGGGAAATACCAGTTAAATTGTTGAAAAGAGCAGTAGTAGCAATACTTGTACATAGGGTGTGGGAGTTGTACATGTCAGTTAGAGTTAGTTAGATTTAGGTGTATGGTTAGTTGAGTGGTTAAGCTAATTAATTGTATTGAGTAAGTAGACAGTATAAATAAGGATAGGCTTTTATTTTCTAATATTAGAACATAGTGTTCCTCTCTTTCTTCTCTCTCTTCGTCTGCATCTTTCCTCTTCGATCAATTCAGCTCATATACTCCCTTTCAATATGGTAGCAGAGCCATAGATTCATGGCGATTCCAAGCTGAATTGTTGCGGAATTGGGGACTATTGTTGAAGAATCAACTCTATTGTGTCTAAGATTTGAGGAATCGGTTCGGATTAGCCCTAGAATTTCACGATCGTTGTGAGGAGGTTGTTTTACCATAAAATCCAGTAACATTCACAATAGGAGGCCTTCGTATTGAGCTGAGTTTTGAATTCGAATTGTTGAGAAATTGAATGTGAAAATGCCGCAATCTGGAGAAATGGAGAAGAAAAATGGAAAGAAGTTCACAGATATTCATCCTAGGCATCCTCTTTACCTGCATCCATCGGATAGTCCAAGTAGTGTTTTAATTCCACATCAATTAACGGAAATTAAGAACTATACAACATGGAGCAACCTATGAAAGTTGTGTTATTGGCGAAGAACAAATTAGGTTTCATAGATGGAACATGTTGTAAGGAACATT